AAATGAATCACCAAAGAAATTTATCGGTGAAAGAGGCAGTACGAGCATCAACTCTGCTGGATGAGGGTTACTCGATGCGTTATGTTGCCAATGTGTTAGGAAGGAATCATTCCATTATAAGTCGTATCATTAGATGGTATATCGAAACTGGATCTCACATTCGAAGATCAGGGCAAGGACGAAAACGATGTACCATCCAAAGTTCTGCGAGTATCCGCTCGTAGAAATCGGACAATCACTAGTAATGTGTTAAAATATCAGCTATTAGACGTTCGTAATGTTCGTAATATTTTATTAGTATTTTACCTGTTTTGTCTAAAGTATTAGAAAAAATTATGAATGACCAAATTCGGGAATTTGTCGATAAGCATAATATTTTGCCTAGGACACAGTCTGGATTTCGTGCGAACTACAGTTGCGATACAGCATTAACGCATATAGTTGATGACATATTGTTTGCGGCGGATCAAAATAGGCTTACTGGATTAGTTTTGCTAGACTACAGTAGGGCCTTTGATACTGTCAATCATAGAATGTTGTCAGCTATCTTATCCTTCATTGGGTTCAATGATTCTGCTGTAAGCATGATTGATAGTTATGTGTCAGATAGACAACAAGCCGTTAAATTGGGTGTTCGGAGATCTGAACTGCGAGGCTTGAAGTCAGGAGTGCCACAGGGTTCTATCTTGGGGCCTCTACTATTTTGTATCTATACCTCTAATCTGTCGACAGTTTTGAAATATTCAGAGTCACATTTTTATGCGGATGATTCCCAAATTTATCTATCGTTCCTGCCTACGGACATGGCCACTGCTCAAGTTAAATTGAGTGAGGACATCAATAATTTGATAGATGTATCCACTAAACACTCGTTACGGGTAAATTCAAATAAATCAGTGGTTATGCTCTTTGGCAGGCGGAGTGCACGAGACTCTATTGCAGAAAATTTTAAAATCAACATTGGTGGTGAATGTATTGGTGTTAAGGAGTGTGCTAGAAATTTAGGATTACAGCTCGACTCTAATCTTAGGTTCGAAAAGCACATCCTGAACAAAACAAAAATCTCATTTGCTGCTTTGAAGCTCATATACAGCATGAGGAATATTTTAAATCGCAGCACAAAGGTTATGCTTTGCGATTCCTTAGTGCTGAGCCATTTTAACTTTTGTGATACAGTATATCATAGTTGTCTGAACTTAAAAACATCACAAAGGATTCAGCGTGTTCAGAATTCATGTCTCCGAATGATTTTCGGGCTTCGACGAGGGTGCCATGTCTCACACAGGCTGATCGATCTTGGGTGGCTGAATATGTGTAACCGTCGTATATACCATATGGTTTCATTTTTTCATAAGTTACTGTTGCTTAAATGTCCATCTTATTTGTATGATAAGATTAAATTCCGCACTGATGTCCATAGCTTAAATGTTCGAAGCAAGGGTATTGTGACACCACCGCTGCATGTGACTACATTATTTGAGCGATCATTCTCTTACAACTTACCGAAATTTTATAATAGTTTACCCCAATCATTGAAAATGTTGAGCTTGCCGGCGTTTAAAGTAAAGATCAAAAAATATTTATATGAAGAACAGTGTGATCATATACAGGGCGGGACACGTGGAATGCGATGATTTGGTTTTGCTTTTTATGCAATTATATTATTATTTCTAAAATTTCTTTTTTTCTTTCGTTTATTTTTAATTGGTGCGCTATTATTATTATTAGCTTTTTTTGTACCTAGTTTAGTTTTGTTTTCTTTTTGTTTTTTTTATTATTATTATATTTTGTTTATTTTTATGGAAGGGTTGAGTGGAAGAGAAGACTATTATCTTAACTTCGCCCTTGCCAACCAGTTACATTTATATTGTTATTTTGTGAAATGCCATTCTAATAAAGTCTATAATTATTATTATTATTAATATTGCAATATCGTCTCGAACAATCAGAAGACGTTTAAATGAAGCCGAATTAAAGAGCAGGAGACCAACAAAAAAAAACATTATTTACCAGAGAGCACAAAGTGCAAAGATTGCGTTTTGCCCGAAATCACCAACATTGGTCTGTAAATGATTGGAAAAAGATTTTATTCTCTCGCGAAACGAGGGTTAGCTTAAAATCTCCTGATGGACGTGAGCGTGTATGGCGAAGACAAGGAGAGAGATTTGCAAGTTGTAACATTGCTCCAAGGGTGCCGTTTGGTGGCGGCTCTGTAATGTTTTGGGAAGCCATTTGCTTCGACGCTCGCACAGCGTTGGTCCCTATACGTGAGAGGTCTATGAATGCGGATTATTAAATGGAAAACATCGTACTTGAACACGTAACGCCATTTGCTCCTTTTTTGGGTCCTAATTTTGTATTCATACAAGATAATGCATGTCCTCACGTGGCTAGACAGGTTATTGACTACTTGCATGCTGTTGATTGGCCACCTAACAGTCCCGATCTCAATCTCATAGAACACTTATGTGACTATCTTAAAAAAAAGGTCCGTGGTCGTAGACTCCCACCTGCTAACCACAATCAACTGGTGGATGCAGTAATTGAAGAATGGGACAATATTCCCCAAGATACAATTCAAAATTTAATCGCTAGCATGCCGAGGCGTATGAATGCGGTAATTAGGAGTAGAGAAGGACCTACAAGGTACTAATTTCACACTGGATTCTTGCATTCGATTAACAACATCGCTATAAACCGGCTTTACTGCAACAGTTATCAGAAGATGATTTTGATAGACGTGTACAATTTTGTGAAGAAATAATGAGCCGAATTAACGATGATCCGAACTTCGTTAACAACATAATATTTTCTGATGAAGCCACATTTTATTTGAATGGAAAAGTGAATAGACACTATTGTACACCAAGATATGCGAAAAATAGTTTCAAGTAACTTTTCTTTAAAACTTTTTTTAATATAAGTTGAAGTTAAGGCTGTAGAACCATTATTCCATACTTTTTGTACACCTTGTAGTACAGCAAGTCGCAAGAGTTGGTACTGCTTGTATGGGAACAGATACTGTTTGTAGGAGACTAAATACTGTTTGCAGAAGACTTGATACTGCTCGCAGGAGACTATGTACTGCTGGCAGTAGTTAATATGATTTTAGAAGATTAGATACTACTTGCAGAAAATTAAATACTGCTTGTAGGAGACGATTTACTACTCGCAGAATTTAATGCTGCTTACAGGATACTAAAAATTGCTTATAGGAGATTAAATATTTTTTTTGTTTGTAGGCGACTAGACAATGCTTTGAGAAGAAGAAAACTGTTTGGAAAGAACTAAATACTAATTTAGAAGACAATATACTGTTAGCAGGAGATCAGATACTGCACACAAATGACTCGATACAGCTGTCAGAAAACTAGATACTGTTGACAGAACACTAAAAAATATTATTAACTTAAAATTACGTTCCCTACTACAACATGAAAAGAAGTATAGAATCTGTCTTTAGATTTAGCAATTGTAAATTCAATATTCATCGTTCAATATTGATAGAACTATTAAAACTCTAGGTTAACGATGAAGCTTTGTTTTATTAAAATTTATTTCGGTGCAACAAGTTTCGGAATAACTAATTCCTTCATCAGGCACGACTGAAAGTACATTGTGTAATTTAATTACTTAATTAAAGGGAAATATACAAGAAAAGGAATTTTTCCAATATTAAACTGTAAAGAAGAGAAAGGGTATTATTTGGTTATGTAATGGAGTTTATGACTTACAAATTATGAAATAAAAATTTATTTGGAGTCCATCTGTCTCAGATGGTTGATAAATTTGGACTATTGGAACAA